CACCATTTAATTCTCTCAAACATTTCAAATAGAATTCCTGTTATTGACAAGATACCTCCTCTCACAGCAGAGTCAGTCTGTCTATATAGTTACTGAGAATTATCTTACACCATTGCATGGTGTCCTCTATATAACATATTATACCTTACAGACTTCCATTAATATTTGATTTTGAAACAAATATATATTTGACTATACCCTGTATATTTAGTGATGTATGGATACAGACCTATGGCCATGAACCCCTGTTACCTGTGATCTATATGTTTCTATGTTATTTGGAATGTAATGTGTTTCATGCCTCGTTGACACTTTATATAGGCCAGTTTTAGACTATGGTTATTTTCATATACTTTGGTTACAGCGAATTTTGAGGGAGTAGAATTTGTCTGTATAGTGCTGCATCTGACTCAAAATATCTCTGAAGGGTTATTAACCGTGCACACCATGAATATCTGCTCAGTTCATGTTTTATGTTATTCAGAAAATGAACTAAGAAATGTGAGAAAGAAAGGAAGACATTTTAAATACTGGTATGTAACAACAGACAGAATAAACTTTTTATTTCAATTAAGCAGGGCAGCATGTTCACCAAAATTAACAGAAATAATTCCACTTTTTGATTGATGCACCCCCTGAAATTGACGCCCAAGTCATTGCCCCCTCTGTGCCCCTTGGTCTTCATGCATGCTACTCAAATACCTCTCCCTACCCGCTCTCTCTCTCTCTCTCTTTCTCTCTCTCTCTCTCTCTCTATAAATATATATATATATATATATATATATATATATATATATATATATATATATATATATATATATACGTAAAATAGAGTAAATGCGTCCATTCTTCTAGAATGGACGCATTTACCCTATTTTACGTATATTATCTACTTCTAATGGAATCTTCTAACTACTTTTATATATATATATATATATATGTGTTTGAAACAGATTGTGTAATTTGATATCTATTACTTTGTAATTAATAATTCATAATAATCAGAATAAAGCTCAGTGAGTCATTACTATGTTCTATATTAAACCAAATATTCATTTGTCTATTTATTTCGTAAAGTCGATACTGATTGTTGCTGCTGGAATCAAGTGAACATTTTGATGAAATATAAATAAACAGTTGATTGAATAGCCTGAAATATCATATCTTTCATTAACAATTTAACCAACAAACAATTATGTCATTATGTAATCAATAGTGAAATGACATTGCTATTAAAATGGGTCTCATCCACCATGACACCTGCCATTATACTGTTTATAATAACACACAAGTTAGAGAGAGAGAGAGAGAGAGAGAGAGGTATGGTCCACATGACACAAACTAGGTCATTTTGAGACTAACATATGGTTCAATTTTATTTCAAAAATTCGCTTGCGCGTAGGGGTCTTTATGCTGTGGGAGGAAACAGAAGGGCACAGAGAAAACCCACGAGGTTGGACAGGCGATCCTACTCCTTGTCACGTACAACCGGGGACACACAAGTTGGATATATTGGTTGGTAAAACAAATCTGCACTGCATTGATAGAGCACACAGACTTTTAAAATTTATTATGGAAAAACTACAACAAATGAAAAGTGGTTTCAGGTGTTCTAGAAAGAACCTTGCCTTGTGTATGACACCCGCGGGTACTACTTGTAGCTAGCTAGAGTGATGACGACCATAGAGCTTCAGTGTTAAACTGCCTTGTCTCAAGGGGGGTTGGGAGACCAAATGGTCAATGCATGCGCGTTGCATCATAAGGTCTGTCATTGAGTCGAGTGATATGGTTTCGATTCCCCACTTGTATGTGACGAGGAGTAGGGTGCCTGTCCAACCTCATGGGATTTCTCCGGGTCCTCTAATTTCCTCCCACTGCTAAAGACTCCCTACACGCAAGCGAATTATTGAAATAAAATTGACCCACATTTTAGTCCCGAAATGACCTAGTTTGTGTTGAATGGACATTAAATCCCATTTCTCTCTCTCCAATTGTCACAGTACTTTGGTTGTTAATAATAAAATATCCCCCCTTAGATGTATGTAGGGAGTTAGAAATAAATATGTGAATAATTAATTTGAGTGTATTTGAACATGGATTTTAAGCTGTAGAAAATTTGATATAACTTAATAAAAATAAATGGGTGCCGTGGAGAGAGAGAGAGAGTTAAGCGGATGTAATAAAAAAAAAATAGTTTCACATAAATCATTACTATAAAACTGTCCAGTAAAATCCTCCTAGTCCCCACGCAGGAATTTCATGTCAGTTGTGTTCTGCATTATTGTGATATTTCATGCCAAGACATACTTACAGTTCCACTATAAGATTACTTTGGGAGAATTTTGCTGCAAATTTCTTTTACATTAGACAATGTAATCGCATTAAGACAAATCTTTCAATCTGTTATTTCTCAAAGCAATTTGATTTAACACATCAGTGTGATAAAACCTTCTATAGTCTCTAGTAAAATCCTCCTTATCTTAAATAATCTAATTCAACTTCAAAATATGCCATGTTAGTGTAAAACACACTTCCCTTGAGAAATTATTTTCATTGTGTACAGTTTCAGATGATTATAGCTCTTAATTATTCAATAAAAAACTAGCAGTTGCCAGGCAAGATACGCCCACATTTTGCAAGAGATGGATAGAGAACAAGCTAAATAAAAAAAGAGATTTTTTCATACAATCAGGGGCCATAATCCAGGAAGTTATGGTCCAATATGCACAAATATTGAAAGGAACCAAGATCTTTGGATTATAATCATACATTTCAAGTTTTATCAAAATCGGATAAAAATTGTGACTTCTAGAGGGTCCTCAACCTTGGTATTACATACTTTTACACTATTTGCATACACAGAGTGGCTATTTTGTCAGGCAGTTTCAGTCCGATTTTCACGAAAATTCAAACTAAACCATCATTAGGGTGTAACAGTGATACATTTAAACGTTTTTTAAAATTGAATACAAATTGTGACTTTTAGCAGGTCCATAAGCTAAAAATGTGATTTGTCAAACAATCAGGGGCCATAATCCAGGCAGTTATGTTGGAAAATGCGTGATTATCGAAAGGAACCAAGAACTTTGTGATATAAACATAGATTAAAGGTTTCATCAAAATTGGATCAAAATTGTGACCTCTGGAGGGTCAACAACCTTGATATACCATATATTACACTATTTGCATACGAGGGGCGGCCATTTTGTCCAGCAGTTTTGGTCCGATCTTCACGAACTTGAAACTCAGCAATCATTATGGTGTAACGGTGATATATTGAAACATCTTTTTAAATTGTGACCTCTTGAAGATCACAAGCTAAAAACATGATTTTTCATACAATCAAGGGCCATAATTCAGGAAGTTACGATCCGATATGCACAAAGATCTTTGGGTTATAAACAAGTATTTCAAGTTTCATCAAAATCGAATCAAAATTGTGACCTCTTCTGATCAACAACCATATTTTCACACTATTTGCGTACAAGGGGCGGAAAATTTTGTCTGGCAGTTTTGGTCGTTTTTTAAGAAATGAAATGAAATGGGGTTTAACATCCTACTGTTTTGCTCCTAAACTGGGCTAATGAAGACGGGCATACACCATACATTGTGCTATGAGGGAAATTTTGCCCGGGCAGCAACGCTATGGCCTACTCTTATATCGAATTCCAATTGCCAAGGGATCTTTTATGTGTACGCCAATTTGTACACAGGACCTCGGTTTTTTTGTCCCATCCGAACAACTAGACAGCTGTCCTTGTCAGGCTCTCCGTCCTGCATCACTGACAAGGGGAAACCACGCCAGAAAATCGGGATGAACTTTCTCGGCCAATGCAGGGATCGAACACCCGACCTCCAGGCTAGCGAGCCAGCGTCTTACCCACTTAGCCACGTGATCCCTGGTTTTTAAGAAATTCGAACTCAATCATCCTTACGGTGTAATGGTGATATATTCGAATTTTTTTTTAAAATTGGATAATAGAGGGATTACAAGCTAAAAACGCAATTTTTCATCCAATCAGGGGTCATAATTCAGGAAATTACAATCCGATATGCGCATATAGCGAAAGAAAACAAGATCTTTGGGTTATAAACATGCATTTCAAGTTTCATCAAAATCGGATGAAAATTGTGACCTCTAGCATGTCAAGAAGCTAAAAATGTGATTTTTCGTACAATCAGGGGCCATAATCCATGAAGTTTCGATCCGGTATATGCCAATATCGAAAGGAACCGGAAGATAAACCTATATTTCAAGTTTCGTCAAAATCGGATAAGAATTGTGACCTGTAGAGTGTCTACAAACAAATTGTGGACGGACAGAGGCGACGACAATATTCGTCCACATGAAAATGTGGGCGTATAAAAACCGTGATTAGCTTGCCATTCATATGTTGATTTGAAATCTCTCCATTTATAAGATTCTTCAATGAGTCTTCTTCAAAATGACTTGTCTGGTTTTAAATGGAAATTTTTATAGTAAAATGTGTTATAGCTTTGATAAATCCCATAATAACCATTTTCTTCCTACCCTAGCTACATGTCTATAAATAACCTAGATATGCCAATTACAAAAGTCAAGATATGCCAATCTGCAATTGGCAACAATGACCGTAGAACATCTTTGAATTTAAATAATCAGATTTCCTACAAAAAATATTGATTTTCTGAGCTAAATTGCTTCAATTTATTTGGTTCAGACACTTTCTTAAAATTGCTGAAACTTTTATGTCCATTTCTCAATGATAATGCGTCACATTCACTTTATCATCATTATGCTACTAGTAGACAAGTTTAAAACTGTCTTGGGAACTGTGAAAATCACACAAAACAATTATCATTATATTTAAATTACTGATGGTGTAAGACATTAAAAAATAATTAAAGAGTAAAATGGGCAAGACGGAAGTGGAAGATGCTTGCTTGTTTGAGGCATTTTGTTTAATTGAGTCTCTTACAATATAAGACTACTAAAATAAATTTTAAAATGGCAATCTAAGTTTATAATTCCTTTAGAAATGGCAACAATTTTTCCACGTTTTATTCTGGTCATACAAAAATTTGATGTGAGAGTAAGACATGTTCAAATCAAACTGAAAAGCAAATATTATATAATTTGAGCATATAAAAGACTAGTTGACAACCCAAACACAGATCTACAACAAATTGTAAGCCTTAAATGAAGCTAACATGTATCAACAATAAGAATTAATATGCATGTAAATTGGATTTACAAATGTATATAACAAATGAAACAATTCAGATTAAGGCACAATGGTTCAATTCAAAGAGCAAAATTGTGACACAAGTGTGCATTTCACTGCAACCTAGGAATCAATAAATAATGCAAATGGCTGCCAATACTCACAGCATTCCTCCAAAAATAATACCGTTTGGATGTACATGCAGCATAACATCGTATTAGAGTGAATTTCATCACAATCTATGACACTTTTTGAGCAAACAGATTTAAAATTTGGCACACTCAAACATATCCTAACTGATTAGTTTTTCATTGTACTTCTCTGGCATTACTTTTATCTCTGTTTCTGGATTAACCAAACCTAAACTTTTCATGGTTTTATACTGATCAGGGACTTCCATCAATGCATGTAATGCAAAACTTGTTTCTGGATTTCTACACTTTGTGGTCACACCATGAAAATTAACAAATTGAAAATTATCAAATTTACGCTGAGGTAAACAATTATCAAAATCTTCCATAATATCCCACGGGCCATCACCAACACCAACAACAATAATACTAAGCGGATATTGTGAAGCTTCAACAATGGCTTCAATTGTCTGCTGCTCTTCATTCACTTGTCCGTCTGCCACTATCACTAAGATATGATATCGTTTTAAATTTTTCACAATTTCTATGGCTTTGTAAATTAATGGAGCGAAATTTGTTGGTCCGCCCAAGGTTATTTTTGTAGCGATATCACTATATTTTTCTAATACTTCACTAAAACCCACGCAATAAGATCCATCTGGTATCAATGGGAATATGTCATCCCCCATTGTCACACTATCCCCAAAACCGTATGCTGGAATCAAATTATCTTCATCAAATGGTTCCAATGTCTTACCCATGATAGAAATAACTTTTTGGTAAGGATTATAAATCCTGGATGGAACTATTCTGTGTAGGTTTTGACCCCCAAATGATTTACGACCCTGCCACTCATTAGAAGCACTAAAGTCAATTCCGAAAATTAAACCACATTTCTCTAAGCCAGCTCGTTTGCATGCTTTACTGACTTCCTCGAAAGAGCTAAAATGATCCTCAAAAGCGAAAAAAGTATGGAAATTTTTGGAGCCAATTCCCAATATGGCCCACAAAGACGGTGGATTTCTGTATCGAAATGGTTGCCGAACTTCTGGGAAATCAGAATCTATTGTTGAGCTGCACTGAACTGGGTCTCTTCGAGTTCGTTTTTCACGAGATTGTTGGAAGAGCCAATAGAGAAGCATAGCAGTAACATTTGCAATCATATACAATATGCAAGATAACACCGACATTGAATACATCGAGGATCTTCTAGCTACACTCTGAAAAATAAAGATAAAAATATCATATCTAATGAATGGGGGCCCTATAAATGTGAAAAGAAAAAAAAATTTATGGCATGCCAATATTCATTGCATCGATTGTATCTTATAATATCCATTAACTGCTGTGTAAGTTACACAGAGTAACTCTCCTCTATCCATGATCTGACCTTTTTCATTATAAGACAGCTGATTTCAAAAGATAATACTTGGCTTAATGGAGAAGGTGGAAGTACAGGGTATGCTACAACACCTTATACCACTTAACTAATGTACTTTAGAAATGTTTATACCAGCAGCAACCAATATTTATTGTATTTTTGTATTTAACACATCTGATGACTTACATAGAAAGAGCAGGATGACTTCACTAAACACAAAAAACCCACATTATAATGAACACCACAGATATTAAGTGTTGAGGTAACAACACAAAGACATTTAATCTGAGTGGTTGTGGAATGATAGCTTCTTAAATTATGGCTCAATACTTTATTTGACATGTTAGACGAGAAGACTGCATCACTTTACAATAACTATTATCTGGTTGATAGAAATGTCATAGTCTTAATAACAGAGACAATATATTAGGTATGACTTTCATACTAATGGTTTTAGCTGATGAAATATTCCATATCACAAACTTTCATTATAATCACATTGAAGAACAATAATTCACAGAAAGACATAAACATTAATAGCACTGGATTTCATCGACTTTGATATTAGTAATGCGGTAACAGTTGTTTTTATATCATTGTAATTCCACAGAGATTATTTAACATTAATCACATTAATAAGTGATTATCCCAAAGAGAGCTAAGAGAGGTAATTGCACCTCAAGTAGAACATAAATAATTTATGTGTTCCTTTCCCTAAACAAGGTTCCAGAAATCATAACAATGGATTGCCAGGCAACGAAACATATATCCCACAGCAGCTCAGTCGTCCAAGCAGTCAACGTTTTTGTCGCATATTTTTTCTTTTGTCGGTAATGAAAACATTTACAAAAAAATAAAATTTGATTAAGAGTAACAACCCATTATCTTCAAAGAGATCGCGGACCATAACTGAAGCAGTAATTTGTGGAAATTGTTGAAAATCAATAGGCTTTTTCGTCTAATAATCTCAAACACTGTGTATAAATTTATAGTCAATCAGATTTTTTCAAAGAGTCAAGGTCCATAACTCTGGGAGTAATTATCGGAAATTGTTGAAAATCAATAGGCGTCTTCATCCCATGAACTTAAACACTGTGTATAAATTTAAAGTCAATCGGATTAAAAACACAAATTGGGATATTAGCCATAATCAGTGATAGGATTTCAAAATTTTTCTTGTCGGACATTTTAAGGCCCTTAATGTTGAGTGAGACTCTGATTCACATATTAAACTTGTTTCTTAAAAAGTTTACTTCTCACTAGTCTCAGTAACAAATCTAGTCAGGGTTTGGAATCTGTTTAACTTGTACTAATGGTAACTGTGCTGGATGTCCAATGTATAATTGAGTTAGATTTCAGGTAAGATTGTGATGCTTATGGACAGAAATTGACCCAAAATCTACTTAATGTCACTTTTTGCACATCCCAGTTATTTTCCAGGTTGTTCTCTATTCTCTTTGTGCCATCCATGTTAAAACTATAAGTTTTGATTTCATAAATTCTTAATATGTCCAATTAGCTAAGAGATTTGTGATTTGCATCAGTCAGAGTATGATAAGACCTACGTTTCATTGAACACCTGATATCAGTTATTTTTTAATTGGGAATTCACACAGCTAAAACATTATGTTGCATTTTGCATTTCTAAGCTGTTGCATGCATTACTATGTTGGCACATCAGTGCACATTATTGTATGCATGCCACACCTGGACAAGAACACTGGTTCTGTCGACAATTGACAGACTAATTTTAATGATATCAACATAAACTTTTACTTACAGTAACTAAGGGTCGTATACACCAGGATAAAGTTAAACTAATAAATAAGATATACGATATATTGATCTTATATACCATGTTTTTGCTGTGGTATAACGACATGTGACTTATTCAAAACATGGTATATTGACTAATATACCACACCTGTGACTTTATATCTCACAAATAACCAAAAAGGTTTTAATTCAAAATTACAATATATATACATTTATTATATCTACCTGCTCTATTTATTACATTTGTTTACTATTTACCTGTATTTGATTGGTATTGTTTATTGAAGTGTATAATTTACCAACAGATTAATTGGTTATATGTAAACAGCTGATATTATTCATGAATAAACAAAAGACGAGAAAGGTCAGCCTTGAAGACAACTTTATTACCAATAGTACTTCAAACAGTTTGTTCATTTTTTGATATTCTAAAATTTTGCATGAAATATTTGGATCCAAACTTGTATTTGCATGCTAACAGGGAATGAGATAGATAATGTATACCGGTAGTCATGAATAAAACAGTAATACATGGATACTATATATTTTGAGTAGTCTAATGTTTGTATTGTAGATCATTATAAGGTGTGTCATCGTTGTAGATCGTGTAGTACAAATCAAAAGATGTATTATCATCGTAGATCTTAAGGTGAGTTATTGTTGTAGATCAAATGGTGTGTTATTATTATAAGGTGAGTTATCATTATAAGGTTTGTTATTATTGTAGATCATTAGATGTGTTATCGTTGTAGATTATTGATGTGCTATCATTGTAGATCATAAAGTGTGTTATTGCCTAACCTCTTAATCCACCTTTTAAAGACACCAGGCCCATAGCCTGTAGCCAGTCGGGGGCAAGGGTAGGGGTGGCAGTGCCTCTCCGAAAAAATGATTTGCCCCCCCCCCCTTGAAAAAAAAAATTGTCGACCATAGTTCTAAAAATACCTATTGTTTGTAATAGACAGCAGTCGGGGATCATCATGTGGAGTATTGATTTGGGGACGTGGCACCTTGCACCCAGTCTCATATCTACCATCTATCTACCATATATTTTGTACTGACTTGCTCAATGGCCCAATGTTCATTGTTCAGAGTTTGCTTGAGAACAATTTTTTGGGCTGGAAAATGTACGTGTTTGCGGCCATCCATTTTTTAAAGATCTCCGGGGTAGGAGCAGCGACAGATCATGATGAGAGCAACAGAGGCAAATGCCTTGGCCCGGAGATTGTCTGTAGCTATAGCCTAATATTTCTGTTTGAATATACAATAGGACAAGGACTGTAACACAAAAATCATTGTAAACATAATGTTTATTATTGAAATAAAATATTCCATGTTAGTACAGAAATGACCTAGTTTGAACAGAGTAATAATTAAGCTCTCTCAAAGGCTAAAGTATTATTTATATTATTTAGAAGATAATGGAGATTATCTCCCAACGTTGATATAAGCTGATAAGATTTAAACTGGAGAAATCCAGGTCAAGGTAGACATTCAAGATAGAAAAATCTAGGAATTCATGAACAGCAATATTTAATAATTACGCTTTTAAAGCTGTGTTTATCAGTTCTTACACAATATAATCAAAGATGGCTGTGTGGGTTTCACTTAGATATAGGTAATATAATGTAACCTGGTACACTGCTAAACATGGGTGCAATTAGGGTAAACTATAAGTATTGTAATATTTACACCACAGTCATGTACCTGAATAGTTCATCAGACACTGTATCTCAAAAGACATGATAGCGCAGTTAATTAACGGGATGGAGGCAACAAATTTTCTTTCGCACCCTCAAATTCCTACCCTATAAAGAACTATATATAGTCTCTCAATCACAACTGGCTCTTTAGGCAAGTTTCCTTAGACACATTTGTCTGCAACATCACCTACAGCGGAATCAGATATTAAGCCATACAACCAAATGAACGCCGCAGCTATTTTTCTTTTAAAAGGTGTAACTCTTTTACAAGTGTAACCAATTATAAAGAGGTAAATCCAACTAGTGTAATCAATATTCGTGACTACGGAATATGTTTAAAGGGTGTTTTGGAAGAGCTACACAACTACAAATTCATACTGTATTTTCCCCAATATGGGAACATTCCTACAGTATCTACTTTTCACAATACTTGGGTTACTACAGTGTTAGTCCAATTTGGATGTTTTGGTAAAATGTCTCTATATTTGGCATTTTATTTTAGAGTGTTTTACTCTTGAAAAATATAAGTCTTATATCATGTATTATATTATTGGACCAATAAACCTTTGAATGATGAACATCAGACCAATATGCCAATATTGTTTAGTTGGGAATATACTTTGAATCATGAACTAGCTTGAAGACTCTACAATAAATCGCTGAAAATTCTCTTACATATTATTATACGGTTGGATAGTTTCAAGAGGAAATGAATGAAATGTTATAATAGAAATTTCTTCTACGAGAAAATTATTAAAAATCAATAAAATAATATCCTGTTCTAAAATGTGATAGCTTGATTAGATATCATTCGTAACCCTTTGATCCCAAAGCTCCTAGACATTATGGATATATTGTTTAATTCAACTGGGAAATGTATAACCCTTCCCATAATTTTACTCTCATATGTTATTACAAATATCATGAGCTATCTAATATAGAAATGTATTTATAAAATGGAATGGGGTTTAACATCCTACTTTTCTGCACCAACTAAGCTAATGCATATATAATCAGTTTACATCATGGATCAATCAATCAAGATGGTACACCTCACCTTCTACATGAAGGCACACAACAAAGATGGTAACCTAAATATAACCAAGGGTTTAGACCACATATACCATGCTTAATATGCCTTAAGGAGAATTTTGTGCATACAGCACTGTTTCCTGTCTATTCTCCATCGAATTACATTTAAGGGTTCTTTTATGTGCCGCTAATGTAGACACAGTAGACACAGGACTGACAGTTTTTCAACCCATCCATATGATTAGACACTTTTTCTTGCCTGGCCCTCTTATCATATACCACTGACAGGATGAAACTAGGCTGGCTAATACCTAGATTGTATCGTGGA